CATAATTTGCTAATGACATCACCGACAATCTCATATGTGCTATGGACCAAATTAAAATCAGCTGTAATGGGTGAGACTCTGGACAAAACTTTTTTCGTGGTGTGGCTTTCCGGCAATTAATGACGCCATGGATTTGTGGGAAATTCCGCTCGTTAATGTTTATGTACGACCACTTGGCTGTGCCTGTTATAGAACTTTACCCTCATAGTCCTTTATAGGACTATCTCCATTTAAAAATGTAATTTTTCCGTTTTTACGGACAGCTGCTTTTTCCTTTTAGATAACTGCCGCAATTAGTGCGCGGCCTTGGGCTCTTATTTGAATTATGGTTGCTCTGACCGTGAGACCTACAAGGCAAGACTGTTCTAGCACATTTATTTAATTAAATATCTAATTTCCAATGATTGTTTGGGTCTTTTTTTTTTTAAGAAAAAACACTTGATCCACGTCTTAACTTTTGATACAAAAAACTTATGTAAGCTTACAATGCTGTGGTTACATGATTGATCAGGGCCTAGATATAATGGTCTTTAAACTTGTGTTTAAAAAACTTGAATTTTGCTGCCGTCAATGATTTTCTTACGAGGTTGGTCACATCTCTGAGGTATTTGGTTTATCTTTACCTTATTCCCCAGTCACAATAAATGCTATTATTATTCCCAGGCATAATAATTTAGCATGATATGATGGGAAACTCGGAATACCTATATTGGGCTTTTCCAACCAGCTGGAATATAGCCATGACATTTCTTCGAATCAGTTACATCTCTCACTAAAAATAAGCGAAATTAGGAATTACTTTAAAAGTAAACTTTTGAGAGACAAGCCACTATATGAATGCTTTCGGGTCAAGTCCTTTTGTTTCCTCCTCCAGAGAGTCAAGTTTAAAATTTTCAAAAGTTGCAAGGTATGTCATTTTCTATTTTTAATGCCTTGAGGAAGAGCCAGCCTCGGGATTAGAACATATTTACAGGAAGCTAGATAAGTGTAGTATAAATAGCTTCTATATGTACCTATCACATTATACATTACTTAGAAAAAAAGCTCAGCTGTGTAGACATTGATGTTGTAAGTTTCTTGTATCCACATCTACACAAACCAAAAAGATTTTGTCAGCATGCCATTTTAAATAGGCTCAGACATACCCAAGTCTGTAGATTTAATAAACATTTTTTTTATATTTTTGGTCCTCTAGTGTACTGGAATCTTTACTTTGAATCTAAACATGGATGAAGTTGAAGTTGAAAATGAATCTGCTAAGCCAAAAAGAGTTGCACACGATCCTGACATTATTATTGCTGCCATATCCTGTGTCAGATCCAAGGAGATGTCTATTAGAAAAGCAGCCTCCAAGTTTGGAATCCCTTTTAGTACCCTACATGAAAAAATGAGTGGAAGACGTCCAATTTTGGTCACCAAACAAACCCTCCTTACAGCAGAAGAGGAAGATCGTTTGGCACAGTGGCTTATTGATTTGGCACATCATGGGTTTCAGAAGACCTATGATGACATAAAGCAGACTGCCAAAGCCATTATGACAAAAAGAAATGCACAATTTAAAAGTAAACAAGAATTTCCCTCAAACAGGTGGCTGTATGGTTTTTTGAGGCGTCATCCCCAGCTGGCAACAATAACCAGGCTGTTAAGAAAAGGTAGAGACACAGTTACTCCCACAACTGAGGGAAGCTTAGTTGCGGAAAGATGGTTTGCTAGATTCAAGGACTTCATAGAAGATATTGACCCAACCCTTTTTAGTTCTCCTGAAAGGATTTTTTGTTCAGATGAAATTGGCTTTGCTATTAATGCCAAGAGCAGGAAAGTGGTAGACTTCAAAGGGTCAAAGCGCACGCATGTAATTTCGAATGCAAAACCCCAAATCACTGTATTAGCATGTGCTAGTGGCATTGGGCAGTACACCACGCCCTTGCTGATTTATCCCCTCAAGCGAATTCCAAACATAGATTTATTGGAAGGTTTTCCAGAGGCTCAAGCACAACTATCAGACAATGGTTTGATCAATGCTTCAATATTCCAGTCATGGCTTCTGGACTGCTTCATCCCAGCCTCCAATGATCTTACCAAGCCAGTCCTTCTTCTGGTTGATGGACACACAAGCCATACATCGCTTGAAACATTACAATTATGCGCTGAACATGGCATAGTTTTGTATGGTCTTCCACATGATAGTCACCTTGTTCAACCACTGGAGCAAGCTTTTTTCAGGGCAATCAGAAAGGACTGGTCTAAAGCTATCAAAAATCATATTAAGTTGTCAGGTGATGGCATTAAACTAGAATCCTTTGCCAAGATACTTAGACCGGTCTGGTGTAAATTTGCCACTCCTGAAATAGCCTCTGAAAGCTTTGAGGCTGCAGGGATTATCCCATTCAATCCAGACAATATTCTTGGCTGTAGCAAAGTGGAACCAGGCATAGTCTATAATGATACACCAACTAGTGATGTTGTTACCAGTGTCACTGTACAACCTTTTCTCGACACAGTTGAACTACTGGAAAGCCAGAATTCACCCCTTCCATCCACTTCTAATTCTCATCACCCCCCACCCTCCTCTGATTTTCCTTTTCCATCCGCCTCTGATTTTCAAGATGAATGTCAGAAGTCCTTCTTTCCTTCAATCTCTCACAATTTTCCTGCAAATGACAAGAATGCACAGCAACTAAAATCTCTGATAGATTATTCTTTTTTCTTAACTTATGAGGTTTCCAGGCAACAGCTTGTTTCTTTTTTTTCAAGACTGACAAACGCCCAAGCTACAGACTTCTCCTGTTGTCATGAGGAAAAGTTATTCAAAAAGTTTAAAGCTTTTTCCCTACCCCTACTGAAACCATGTGAAGTAGCTGAAGAAGTAGTTGAAACGATTGAAGAGCCTCCCAATGAAGCTACCCTCATAGTGGGTGATGCATTAACATTTCCTTCATCAAAAGGCAAGGGAAAGAAGAGAAAGAGAGCAAAGCCAAATCTTGTGAGTCAGGAAGAGTTCAGTGACTGTCTAAAAAGTAAGATGGAAAAAAACTAGGCACTGGAAAGAAAATAATTACCTTACTGGAAAATATGCAGAATTGACTGATGGTGATCTTCAGGACTAGTATAAATATTGTGGTTGCAGCACACATTTTCACTTAAAGTGACCCAGTCATGGTTTTACTTTTTACTTTACGGATTTCCAAATCTTTGGTCATTTCTGTAACCAATGTAATATAATGTATGAATGTTCACATAATTAATGTTCAGTTCGGTTACGTAGTTACTTTCTTTATCGTTTTTTGTTTATTAATCAGATGTAGTTTTTCTGCATTTTAATGGAGTTGCTCATTTGTGGGCAAGTTGTCAGTGTTACTTTTTTTGGCTGCGACTTTTTCCCCTAGCAAAGTCCCAAACTTTTCATTTCTCTTTTTTGTCAACAATTACAAAACAATTTTGAAGGACTATGTACGACCATTAAAGCATAGATATTTCCATTAGCTTAAGGCAAATAACCCATAGACCATTCATCCTGGTAGCACATATGAGACTTATCACGAAAGCCCAATTGTTAGTAGCAATGTTTTATAAAAATCATTTTATTGTGGTTATTTTTAGTAGATTAAAATACTAGTAATATATTAAAACATTTGGAGGCTTCTATGATGAAGGGGATAACAAAATTAATGATGTGCTAATTTTTGTGATTAGTTGTATATGTTTTAAAAATTTAACTCTTTTGGTCTTTTAAAATGTGCTTTTTATGTTACTGAAAACATAATAAATATTTGATTTCATATAATTATTGTTGTCAAGTATGATACACAGCTTTTAGCACATGGACACATACTTTAATAGGGTAATTTCAACATTAACTTACATCCATTGGTTTTCTTTAAAGTGTCTGTTATACAAATTAAATAACAAAGCAAGTGATTTTGGAAGTGATATAAAATAACTGTTTAATAACTGCCTTGGATTATGTTCTGGGGAAACTTATAATTCACGTGACAAATGTATATATAAAAAAAGATGCACTCATATCTATTAATTTAAAACTTTTTTGTGAAACTAGCCTACCTGTTGTGCGTAGCTGCTATCTAGCTCTACACACCATTGTGACAAAACGCCTTAAATGTTTTGTCATCATGTTACTGATCATGTTTTTTTTTAGATGTGTGAGCTGGTTTCTTTAGTGAGCTCCTAGAGTACGTTTCAGACATGCCAACCATCCGACCAAAAGTGGAATTGTTCCGCATTTTTACAAAAAATCGTGTCCTGTTCCGCCATCCCGTTTTTGTCCGTTAGTCCTGTTGTTTTTTTTTCTAAAGAAAAGTAGTAGACCACTGTACCATATCCCTACTGGTGCTCATGATGCTGTCATAGGCGCAGTGGGCCTAGTGCAGTGATCATTGAATCATGTAGTACCACATAACCCCTGTGCAGGACGACCAATTAACCGATCCCAAGTGCTTTGGTAGCTGCTAGAGCCCAAACTGCATCCTACTGCTGGGGTCCATTCGTTTTGGAAAAATTCATTTTATAGCAGAAACCTTCATGAGAATAATCTCAACAACTTCCCAGTTTTCTTGTAATTGGATAAAGGTTTTAATAATCTTTTAAGGGCAGATGCACATAAATTCGTTTATTTACCAATTCTTTGCCATTTATCTGTACTAAAAATTATAATGGGTTGGCATTTTTGTTCAGTTCTTCATTTCCGTTTCAATATATCCATAACTAATGCACACCTCAACCTTATGAGCACGTTGAGTGTTGACTGTCATGCCATAATCAAGTGACTGCTTCAGAATACTGGTGCTATGCCTCTGTTCTACCATTGCTGTTATGACATAATTAACTGAGAATGTAATTTTGTCTTGAGTTGGGTAAAATAAGGGTTAGTCTTTTTTTTTTTTGTAGTAGTTTTTTTTTGTTGTTGTTGTAGTGAACTTCTATCTTAATGAATGTTAATGACAGTTTATCTAACGATTAGACTTTGATTTTATAAAAATTAGTCAGGATTCAAGGATAACAACTACACAAAGGATGGCTCTCTGAAGGCTTCCTCTGAGGAGGCACCCATTCACCGAATCCGAATTACTCTCACCAGCAGAGTTGTCAAAAGTTTGGAGAAAGGTATGTATTGTCTAGTATTATTGTAATGATTTGTGCCATTTACTAGATGTAATACATACGTATATATATATATTTTTTATGTTTAGTACCTTTGCTTCAATTTATTTGTTGTAATTGCAGTATGTGCTGACTTGATCAAGGGTGCTAAAGAAAAGAACCTCAAAGTTAAAGGTCCAGTTAGAATGCCAACAAAGATTTTGCGCATCACTACCCGTAAAACACCCTGTGGTGAGGGTTCCAAGACCTGGGATAGGTACCAGATGAGAATCCACAAGCGCATCATTGATTTGCACAGCCCCTCTGAGATTGTTAAGCAGATTGTATCCTTTTTTGTCAAGTGTTTTATTTTATTGTGTTAGAGTAGACATTTCAACATGTAGGCCTGTATTTTTAAAACCAATTTTATAAGTGTTTTCTCTCCTTAACATTTGTTCAGACCTCTATTAGCATTGAGCCTGGTGTGGAGGTTGAAGTGACTATTGCTGATGCTGCATAAGACTGACTTGGTCTCTGATTTGATGAATAAAGTATTCAAATGAACTGTTTATTTTTTTATTTTTTGTAATGCATGTCTGTAAATTGTACTGTATGACTGTATGTAATAAGTTGTGAGGAGTTAAATAAATTAGTTAAAATCACAGTTGTACCACATGCTGTTTTTAACTAAGTGTGCTGATGTCAAGATTATTTTGCTAAAGTTACACAGCCAATTTAACTTTAACAGATGAAAAGGTCTCTGCCACTAGAGTATTCATTTAGTGTTGTGTTAGTAAAATAATGACTGGTTATCACTTGAAGTTATTAAAATGTACATCATTTTAAAACAATTGGATCCTTGTGGGTTTTTTTTTTTTAAGCTGGTGTTTAAAAGTTGAACCATTTTGATATACCTCAAATATCAGATTTTGTATCCCTAACTACTTGCCCTAAGTAATTTAAACAGTAAATCTCTCATTAAAAACTTAGCCTAGGTTTATTTCTAGATCTTAAGACAGAAGGGGTAGTATTAGAAACCTGACGACCACTAAAAAATGTATACTTATTAATTGAAATATTGGGTACAAAAGCCCATCTAAAAAAAAACCTTGACTTTTTAATGTAACCATAAAGGAATAATTCATTTAACATTGTGAAACGATATTTGATATTGGCTTTAGATACAAAAACCAGCTGAGGTATCTAATAATAAGCAGAACTACTAGGGACGTAAGAGATGACGGGAAATATTGAGAAAATAATGCGGTTTCTCAATCGATGTCAATAAGCGCAAGGGATGATATTGATAAATTGATTTATACAAAGTGAAAGTTTTTACTTGCTTTATTTTTTCGTATGCATTAGTCGGTTTAGTAAAATATGGGGACGTATCATTTTATGATGGTTCCAAATCGGTTATCACATTTTGTAGGATAATTTTTTTTTCGCAAAATTATGTAATTTGTGCAAAGAGCAGACAACCGGAAAACGATTTGTTAGATTTTTTAAAAACTGGTTATATCCCTTTACAGTTTGCTAAACTATAGGAGTAATTTACCTAAGCATTTGCTACTAGAGTCTACGGGTTTTGCTCTGGTGCAGAAATAAAATAGTTATAAAATTAATAAGTTTGAACGTTGGCATAAAGACAAGCTATCAGGGGCGAAACTACAGTGCCGCCAGACCCCGCATTGTGGGGGGGGGGGGGGGGGGGCACGCCATTTAGGGGCCCATAGCCGACCATAATAAATTTGTTATAGTTAAAAAAATAATTTTCTTGCATTTTTAACTTGACGGTAAAAGCTTTTGTAAATAACAAACAGATCTACTACAGTGGTGATGTAATACAGTAGCTAACACACAGAGGCGTAGCGAGGGGGGGGGGATGCGGACCGCACCGGGTGACACCAAGGCAAAAAATAGCAAAATATATACAGAAAAATGATTATTCCACTTAATTGATTAATTCGAGTGTTATATAGTCTTTTAAGAGGTGCAAATCGAAAGTTTGAGGGGGGGGGGGGGTGCAAATCAAAAATTTGTCCCCGGGAAGGGTCGCTACGCCTTTGGGGGGGGGGGGGGTTACGCCATTAAGTGCTCACCGGGTGACACCCGACCTCGCTATGCCACTGCTCAGAGCCGGCGTTAGGAATACGCGGGGCCTAGGGCCAACCATCCGAGCGGGGCCTGCTTTTTTCCATTATATATATATATATATATATATATATATATATATATATATATATATATATATATATATATATATATATATATATATATATATATATATGTGTGTATGTGTGTGTATAGTCCTATATAATATGCATACACACTACACACATAATAACACATAAATGTTTTAGCTCTCCCACGTTTTAACCCAATGTTCTTAGTGTTTTTTTTCTTGCTAAGATATTTAATAACTTTTGAGAGATATGTAATTCATACCAAATCACTTAAGAAAATTCAATCACGTGCCAAATAATTAGGAAAATAAAGTTGTTTAAATTGTTTGTTGATGACTAATTGTTAATATAAAAGCATGGGCGTAGCGAGGGGGTGGGGTGCGGACCGCACCGGGTGACACCATTTAGGGGGGGGGGGGGTGACACCAAGGCAATAAAATAGGAAAACATATACAAAAAATTATAGTTCCACTTTAAAAAGTGGTTAATTAGAGTGCTGAATAGTCTTTTAAGAGCAAATTTGATAAATCCCGACAAGGGTGGAAGGGGGGGGGGGTGGTGACACCATAACGTAAACCTGCTAATGATAAAGAAAACATGCTACATCAACACTTTTAACCTTCTTAAAAAAAACAATAATAAATCACTCTGTCTAATGCCCCTTGATATAGATCCTAAGGGCCTCCCCCCCCCCCCTCATCGCCCTCTTCCCACCCCTCTGCACGCAACTGAATGTTAATTATGTTATACCAAGACAAGTAGGGCTACATATACAACAAGAAAGTCAGGACTAGCGTTCATCAGGTCACTAACTGTCTACTACAGGCATCCCTCTGCTCACTAAAAGGACGTCTTCATCGGTCCGCATACAATAGAGTATCTTTTTACCTGTTTCCCAAATTTACATCCTATGTCAGGTCGGGGGCTGATTCGCATCCAACAATCTCCAGTCAGCTCAGGTCAAATGCCAGGCGACCGTGCCCTACACAAAGGGGAGGTGCGTGACACTGTCTATTTTTGTATCGAATTACGGCCTGTCCCAGTTTAGGTGGGTGATAACTCACCAACATCAACCGTGGCCTCAGTTATAACAATCAACAACTTCGGCATTCGACCATTTAGTTTTTCCCCATTGAATTCAGCAACATTTTTTTTAAGTTAACAAACTAATTAAGATAACAATGACAGTGCTGAAGCGCGGGGCCCCTTCAGGCGCGGGGCCTAGGGCGGCTGCCCCGTTTGCCACCCCCTAACGCCGGCTCTGCTGCTAACACATGCTGTTGTGTAAAAAAAATGCCTGAGCTGTAGTGTGAAAGATAGGCAACCGTTCAAAAGAAGAAGTGCCTGAAAGAAACGCTGCTTCTAAATGTTTTGATATTGTATTTTGCATCCATCTTACTTAGCCCGTTTTAAGAGAGGTGTAGTGTTATGGTTGGGTAAGACTTCGTGACAGCCCCACGCACGCTTCAATATTTGCTTTCTCTGACACACGTTAGTCCTAGATCTAGACATCTATGTGTAGTATGTGGGCAGGTCGTGAATTTACTTTTTCAACGTTCTAAATTTAGCTTGCCTTGAGGGCTTGAACTATTTTTGGAAAACAAGGATGCTATTTTTGGATCATTTCCCCTTGTAAATTGCTTCCCCTCGCACTTTACTATAGGCCTACATCTAGCCTAAAAAATTAATGTTATTATATTTTGCTGTCTTGTTTACTGTAGTGAAAAATGCGTTGCTGCATGTTGTTAATATTATTTTAAAATAAAAGTGACACAATGAAAAAGGGAAGAGGGCGGCCTGCTGGTTGTGGCGCATTGTTCTTTTTTTTATTTTTTGAAATGCTAAGAGTAAGCTTAAAACATAAACATTACGTTACTCGAGGAATAAAATTAGTGGGCAGAGTTTCTTCCAGGCATCTCTTCGGGAGGGGCTTCGCCCCCCCCCCCCCCCCCGAAAATTTTTTACCGCCCCCCCCCCCTCCCCCCGAACGAAATGAAATTTATATAATTTATATAGAAAATACTTACTTTTTACAGTGTCCGCCCCCCGAAGAAAGTCTACCGCCCCCCCCCCCCCCCCCCGAAAATTTCAAGTGCCCCCCCCCCGGAGAAAAAAGTCTGGAAGAAACACTGTTAGTGGGTAATGTTGTTTTTTGGTCTAAAAGCTAGTTAGTAGGCTATATCTTTCTAAAACAAGACTAACAAAAAATAAACATTCCTTCAGTTTTTACCAAAACAAACAGAAGAGTCTAGCTCGTTAGTCTCCTCTTAATTAATTAGCCAGCTGACTTCATTAATTTTTAAAATCCCGCTACAAATTTAAGCGTAGTTTGGGATTTTCCTAAAATTGACCATACTTTTTTTGTTTACTTTTTAATTATTTGTTGTTAAGCCATGTGATTAAATATAGATGTGTTTTAAGGAAAAATTACTTTCGTCAACTGAGTTGCATTTGTTTAAATAATAATATATAGACTATGTAGTGCTTATAGAAAAAAAAAAAAAACGATTCTAAACGTTAAAGTTAAAGGGAATTTTTTTTTTTTTTGAAGCGGTATCTTTTAATAGATTTAAACAAGAAATTATAATAAAATGCGCTATATAGAACTATTCTTTTTGTTGAGTTATGAGTTATGGATTGATTTGTTATAGATGAATAATTAATCAATACGCGATTTCTCTACGCCTATACTGGCTATACTATGGGAGTTGATTAATACAATGTCGCAAGGGGCTTAACTCTTAACACCTTCAGCTTGGGTTGACACTCGGGCTGCAGCAGACACGTTTTCTTTGTTGACGTGGGAGGCCAGCTCCCAGAGCAGACGTCACGTTGTCATGTGACCTACAAGATTGAACCCCAGTGTTGGCTTTGGTGGGTTGACCATGAATGACGTCACTTAGTTTTAGCGTAATCCCTCCACTCATATCGCCATAAGTAAAGCCCGCCCTCACCCCACCCTAAGATGACGTCACAAACTTCTACCCTCACAAACTTCTACCCTTACATTCAAAAGTAACGTTCGCAGAAGAGAAGGTGCTTGATTAATTGTTAATTAGCAAAGCTCCTTTAATCCAATTATTTTTATTTATGGCTGGTTTTTTTTTTTTTTTGTTTTTTTTTTGTACTTTTTAAATTTGGTACAATTTTGTTCGATGGCTCCGCTGTTTAGGTCGTCAGTTTCTCACAAGTGCCAAAATATTTGAATACGTCTTGACTATTTGTTTGTTTGTGAAAAAGCCTGAAAACGACAAATGAATTAATTTGTGAGTTGCCAATGTGACCCTACAGCTAATCTATAATCCTGAATACCATGCTACCAATAATATCTTACAAGCAGTGGCGTAGCGAGGTCGGGTGTCACCCGGTGCGGCACTTAATGGTGTCACCCACCCCAGAGGCGTAGCGACCCTTCCCGGGGACAAACTTTCAAGTTTTCGATTTGCACCCCCCCCCCCCCAAACTTTCGATTTGCACCCCCCTTCTCAAGTTTTTCTCTATGTATTTTGCTATTTTTTGCCTTGGTGTCACCCGCCCACCCCTCTCGCTAAGCCTCTGCTTACAAGTCTGTCTGGTTTATGAATTATTCTGTCTGCTTACTTTATTTTATCACAATTTAGTTTTGATGGTTCAATAAATAACGCAACATGTTTTGTATTATTAAACGAACGACCTTTAAAAATAATTGCTTTTTCAGCAAGCGCATGTCCAAATTATTATGCAAGCTGTGTTAAAAAAAAATTAACCGTCGCTTTAACCCCGCTCCTCCCCTCACATTTCGATCGTCTTGTCCGCGCCTTGAACGAGTGGCCCCTGCACGGTGCTGACGTCTGCAGTCCAGTAGAAAACTGGGCTTACGCCATGCGCGTCATCTGCTCGCCGTCTGGCCATTCATGCCCGAGGAACATCGCCCCGGCATACGTCACACGCGAGAATACGAGGGGGCCACGGTGGAGGCCATTGATTTTTTTTTAAAACCCCCTGCATATGGGCTGATGATATTAGTGTGATTCACAGATTAATAATATTTTTTTATCAAACTGAATACTTCATTTAGGAGTCATGGCATGCTAACAACGCGAACCACATTCCAAGTCTGCTAACTTCCGATATACATTCTTTTACCTCTCACCCCCCCCCCCCCCTCCAATAACTGCTGTTGTAAGATTGAAACCACGATGCTAGTTGAAGGAGTCGCCAATCAAATTTTACCGCCTTACGTTTGCATTCCATTCTAAGGAAGAAAGTTTTTAAAAAATGAGGATGGTCTTTAAATAAAGTAAATAAAAAAACGCGCCAAACATTGTTCGAGAAAGCTCTTATGAACGGACATGTCGGGTACGTTGAAGGCAACTGGTGCATTTTATTAAAATACCCCGCAGTGATTTAAAAATAATTAGCAAAAAAAAACAAACAACAACAACCGCGCTAGGGTTACTAATTAATTTAATTATCGTAGTTATATTTTGTTTGAAAAGAAAACCTCCACTAAAAACTGAGGTACACGAAGCATGCATTTCTGTTGGTCATTAGCCCCAAGTTTTGTTTGTAGCGGAAGTTTAGAAGGCGGGTATTTACAACGGCATGGCAAGAACGTCAACAAGCCCCAACAAGTCACGAATTCATTCCGTTATCCGCGAAGCACCAGTTTACCCGGGAGTGTTGGTTTCGGCTTGCTTATAGATACCACCCCACCTTCCCCGCGCCGTATGAACACTATGGGCGCGTGCTGGGAATTCCACTCTCTAAACTAGGTCAACTTCAGCCCAGCAGTCGGGATATTCCGACAAAATTTGATTGGTTTTAACGTTTAACGAGCAGATTTTTTTTTCAAATATTGAAAGCGTTGATTCCCTGGTTTTTATTTTTTTTTTAACAGTGTGGTCAATACAATGCCCTCTGAGGATGCTTTGCTAATCAGCGCTGGGAGGGGGTGGGGGAACGATTCACCGACTGGTCTGCTGATATCGTCATCATGAGGACAGCAGAGCCAGTTTGAAACAGCATCGTGACTAAACGTGGGTTATCCGATTCGTTTTCAGCCAATGGGAGCGCGAGCCAATTTTTGACGCAGTATAAAAGGAAACCAAGGTTGTTCAACAAACCAGTCTAACGAAACACGTTAAAACGAGCGATCTGAGATATTTGGATTATTTGGATTTACTTTGTGAATTTTATATTCGTGCACACTGCTGTTCAAATCAGTTGCGTTGTTTAATTCAAACATGACACTAACGGATGTACTTCAAGCTATTGCTACACAAAGACAAACCTCGGATTATATGGAAAAGTAAGTTTAACTTTATCAAACTTTGCATTGTTCTAGTTAGTAAGTTAGTCTAGAATTCTAGATCTTTTCTTTTGTTTAAGATAGCAACGCCTTTGTCTATTATGAATTAAAAAGAATTATGCAATCGTTCAGTTTAATTTTTTAACAGTGAAAATTGATAAACACATTGAATCTAGATTAGATTTAGCCTTAGCTCTATTTCTAGTTAGATTTAAATTTAAAGTTTTCCAATCTGCAAATCCGTGCGTTTTTATATTAGATCGTTTTTTTCTTCTAAAATTGATAAAAAGTATATTTTGTGTAGAGTGTAGGTAGGCTATGTGACTGTAGAGTATGAATTAAATGTGTACTTTTCTTGCAGATCACCAGAAACAATAATGTGCGAGCTGGTAACTAGCGCCATAACCCAGGCAGTACGTGAGGGGAGGTTGACCCACGGGTTAAGCGACTGCGTCACAGCTCTTAGCAGGTAATATTTTTTCCCCTACTTGCAGTACGTCTGAAGAATGAATGCGTGATTGTGTGCGCGCGCTGGTCTGCCCCGCCCTAGTTTACCCTGTCTGGCAGCCAAAGGGCGTAACAGTGCATTCGACAGTTGTTTATATTCAACATTAGCACTTTACATAAGGTCACTTTTCTGGAAAATTAATTCGTCCTGTTATGGAGTTACGTCACATGTTTGAGGTAAACATCGAGGCTAGGTATTTACTGTTTGCACTTTGTTTTCTCAACAGAAACCCAAATGATGTTGCAATCTGCATTCTCCCTGTGGATGCAAGATGCAGTGATGTTAACTTAAACATCCAAATGCTTCTTATCGAGTCTGTCTGTGTTGAATATGACATCCTCATTTTGAAGGTAAATTTTTGTTATTTTTGTTATTTGTGATATTTAATTTAAGTATTAATTTTTTAAAAATAAAACTATTTTAACATTTATTTCATATTTAAAAAAGCTACTTTTACAATTTCACCTTAATTTCACCTTTACTAACAAGATTTTTACTTGATCTATTTCCAGCTTGACTTAAATGAGTTTGGGTGTGGCCTGACATCACCTGTTGACCCTTCTGAGGTGTCAGCCAAGGCTGGTCTGGTCAGTGGCTCCACTGAGCTGGACTGTTTCCTCATCCAGCATGGTGAGGAGGGCCTGAGCTTCAGCGACAAGAAGCTGCTCAACATGTTCACCAACATGTGGGGTGACGGGGGCCAGACCAAGGACCTGGAAGACTTACCTGGTTGATTGACACGCCTAGAACAGATCTAAAATTGTGCAGGTGTGTTTACTATCTGTTTAAGTCATTTAAGTTTTCATTTATTGAAATATATAAAAAATATTTGAAGAGAAATATGTTACAGCTTGCTTAATTAAAAAAAAAATATTTATTGAACAAATTTGTAAATATTTGTTTTTTTCTTCTCCAGGACAACCCAAACTCCTGCCTACATCCAGCCAATTTTGCAAGGTTCACCTTTGCATATCATCGCTCTCATGTTCAGTTCTGTCCAGAGGCATCGAGCAACAGATCAAATTTTAGCGCAAAGCTAAAACCCATTCTATGTGCACTGGCCTGTTGGTTGCATGAACCTGCTGTGTACGTCTGGCGTCTCTACCATTCTATGGCACAACTGCCCTCACCACCATGAAAGCTGCCATCTCTACCACAGCTACTGCAACCCATCAGTAGCTTGTACTGCCTGCGGATTCAACAGTCACAAATGCACAGTCGCATGCTAGACATGCTGATAACGATTGACTGATTATTTCACGGACAGTAGTACACAGCTTGCAGAGAAAATCAATGTCTGAACGAATAAACTTTGCATCATAATAAATCTTCACGTTGGATACAATTCAAAATAAAATACCCATTTGACTTGGATTTAAAAACATTTTTAAATGCAGAGGAGAAAAGGCTGGAGAACTTTTACTAACATTTTACCCTTGTTTATGATGAATGAATCATTTTTTCAAGAACCCAGCAGTAAATTTGTGGAGTTAGGTTATATCCTGTTGTGTTATCATGAATTCAGAAATAGGATCTTGTTTTTCTCCTGAGACTTGTATGTTCCAGGATGTGTTGGTTTTTTTTTTCCATACCTTCTGTTCCATTTACTAATTTAACCCCAATTTTTACATTCATATTAATTTTGTTACATCAAAGATAATTTAATCTGTGAAAGTCAGATTCTTAGCATGATTTAACTTTTTAAAGAATTGAATCAGATTGTTAACCTTGTAGCATGTGACATTGCATTGTAATCACAAGGGTTGGTTTCATAAGACTGGTCGGCAGCCATGTTGACCTACTTTAGTGGAATCTCCTTTAAACACAGGGTTAACCTCCTGTATACAGTCATGTGACCTGAGAGCTGCAACAGCTGGGTGTCACTAACTGTAACAATCTACTACAGACTTATAAAACTTAAACATGTTGAGAATCATTAGACCATGTAATCTAGGCTATCCATTTCCCTGAGACAGTCCATTTGGTCTCTGTGATTGTTACAGTTTAACTTTGCCATGTCATAGATAGCTAAGAAGTATTATCATAAAATATGTAACTGACTTGTTTCTTGTATTCTCTTTTATTTAACCTTAGATTTTATTTAAGTGGATTTGACTTAAAATATTTTCATCATTCATATAACATATTTTTATTGTTCTCTGAAAGTTAAGTTTTTAATGTCATGCTTTTAGTTTTGCTTGGTTACATAACCACAACTATCACTGTAGACAATATTTAGGTGTTTTTTTTTACTATGACCATTATAAAATTATGTTATAATTAAGTTACAAACTTCCATTTAAAAATAAGAAAAATTCATGTTTTTATTAGGAGAGTAGAAAAAATTCTTGCTTGTCAGCAGTGACTAATGAGATTGTTTGTTTATGGACTGAGTCATATGACCAGTCACATGACTAGATTTGTTCCACTTTTGCTGGGGTAACTCCAGCCATGGAAAAGTTGTACCAGCTTGTGACATGTTGGCGTTTATCTTGCCAGTGCATCATGTGACAGTGTGTGACATTGTCACTTGATCTTAACCTCAGATTTCTTATCAGTCCAAGCGTTTCTTTGATAACCCGGTTAGAGAATTGTGTAACAGGGACCATTGAAATAGACTGAAGTTTGGTGTTATCAAAGAAAAAACATTCTACAATATATATATATATAATTGTGCTTTTGTAATATTCACTTATTGTACTTGTTAATATTTTTGTGCAAAGAAATTGAATTGAAAAATAAAATGAGTAAAAAATAAATCAATTTGTCAGCATACTCTTTTGTGTGTTGCAATGTTGTGTTTGTGTGCAGTATTGATGTCCATTTGTGTTAAGGTAATTAACAGATCATTACCTGACTACATATAAGATTAACATGCATTATGGCTGATGTATTGGATTCACCTGGGAACAGTTAAAGAGACTAGCCCAGGACAGATGCTTGGAAAGCTGTTGTCATCGGCCTATGTGTCAGGAGGGGTGACAGGCAAACCTATCTGATGCAAGATGTCCAGGTGCTCATCGGGTATGACCACTACAACTGATGGATATACCAAATGGTCAGCTAGAATACTGATGCAACAAATGGTTAACATCTATGATGGTCACTTAAGATATTGATAGAACTGGTCAGCCAATCTATTGATACAACTAATCAAAATTCATTGATATAATTGGTGAAAATGTTGACGTGGCCTTTATTTATTTACTTTCAAGGCTGACCACATCCACGGCTTAGATTTTGACTTTTAAAAAGCTCAAGTTTATTAGTAGTTCATTTGTTGCATGACAACTTGAACAAACTTAACCAAGACGAAATCAACAAATATACACGTGATGTTAAAATAGAACGCAACAGCAAAAAATAAATATTTAAAAGCTATCTATAATGCAGGTGTAATATAGTGAAATACAATTCTAAGGAATGAATAGACAAATAAGAATTAGTAGTCTGGGTGCATCAGGCATTTAAACAGTTTAAAAAAAAATTCCAATTAATTTCTTTTTAGATAGTTCTCATCAATACACGAGTGATCCCAAATTCTGTTTCAAACACTTTGGGGTCGTCCATAAATGACGTCACACTCGTAGGGGAGAGGGTTCCGTACATTTGTGATGGGGGGGGGGGGCGGTTCAGATGGTGTGACGTCACACTTTTCGCATCATAAAAAAGCAATGTTAGAAAACGAATTTTAGCCGTTATTTCGCGTTTTAGAAAACTGTTTTAATAAATTGCAATAGAAATTGATTAAAATCCTCTATGTTGACAGAGTTCAGACAATATTTCGGAAAAATATCGTATTTAAGAAAAATTCAGCTGCAATTTTTGAGACGGGTTGTAGGCTGAGGTGTGAAGTCATTTTAGGGGGGTGGGGTGGGTCTGGCTTTTTGTGACGATGTGTGACGGGGGGATGTAAAAATCGTCACAAAAAGCATGACGTCATCTATGAATAACCCCTTTGTCCTTTGACGAACGGTTTTAACCTCCCGTGAGATTTGAACTCAATTTATTTTCCCCATGGAGGTTATAATTGTATTTGATTTCTAACTTGAAGTTATAAAACTACCTGTTATCCAACTTGACCTCATCAGATGTTTAACGTCACAAAAGTCGAGCAGACGACGGCTTGTGTACAGCTGTGGTACACCTTGTACCATGAACACGAGGGTGAACACCATGACATCGTCTACACGAGTGTACAATATACACTGTGTACATGACAAGAGAACATCGTGTACCCGACTAGTGTACATCAATTACACGACTAGTGTACATCATGTACACAACGATTGTACATCGTGTACACTTTAGAATTAAAAAAAAAATCCGTTGAGTAGCCTATGTCATGGGCTAGTCAATTTACAACGATAAGTCACGTCTAAACGTACTTTTTTGTTTTGTTTAACAAATGAATTTTACTTCCGGTTTTACGAAAGTAACATACAGTGGTAGAAATTTAAGAATACCAAAAAAAATGCAACCATGGATAGTTAGGAGAATGTCACTAGTAACCAGAATTTGGATGGATAATTAGGAGGTCAATAGTCACCAAAATTTGGATGGATAATTAGGAGGTAACTAGTCACCAGAATTTGGATGTATAGTTAGGAGAATTTTAGCAGCAAATGTAGTACATTTTCTTGAAAGGTTTTTACTTTCTCGACCTTGAACATAAATGTCGGCAGTGTAAGAAGTGACCTTGACATATGACACACACTTTACCAAAAGTCAGAATCCTGTTTTCCTCGCATAACTGAAGCTCCAGAAGTTACATTTTGTTTTGTATTTGTTGACACAGGGTTCGTGTATTTACCGGCAGAAGAAACTTCAACATTTAGCACTGTAAGCAAGGGTGTTCAAGGCATGTGTTTACGTCCGTAGGGGCAGTAGTTGTCCTGCAATCTCTGACGCGACTGGTCAAGTGCAACCTGTTAAAGTACAAGCGGTTAAAGTAGGTTTTACATTGTATAGTTGGACCTATACCCGGTTAAAGTACAAGCGGTTAAAGTAGGCTCTACATTGTAGAGTAGGACCTATAACCGGTTAAAGTACAACTGGTTAATATACAATCGATTCAAATACAACCAATTAAGTACAACCGGTTAGAGTACAACTGTTAAATGTAAGGTCCTACTTTGTAGAGTAGGGCTTAAGCAGGTTAAATTACTTCTGGTTAATACACAACTGATTGAAGCAGTCTATTCTGAAAAGTGTATACTTATTCAGTATAGACCTGCAAGCCACATTTTCAAAACAATACTTGAACCTAACTCAAACTTGACTTTAACGTAGTTCAACTCTTATGTAGCCCTAACCCAGACGATGAAACTAATTTCGATAACACTTGAAAGTATCGATATTCCCTATGGCTCTCAAGTGCATTATGACGGTAAAGTACTGATTTCGATATTGGCCCTAGCCTGGTATCCTGTTTGAAGTAACGTTTGCACTTGTACAAACATGGACTTGCTGCAACACAAACACGCATACATAGACATGCACACTCCAATACACACACACACGCACACACACACACTCTCACACACACACTCGAATGCACACGCACATACTCCACTAAACACAAACATACTGCAATATATACAAACTTCAATATACACACACTCCACTCCAATACACACACACACACTCCAATACACACACTCTCCAAGATACACACACACTCCAATACACACACAAAAACACACACACACACATGCTATTACCACACACTCGTGTCGTTATCTCCAAGGAATTTCGACCTTTAGAAAGCATTGTTACATAAGATATCTCTTTATCTGTCTACCATAACCCACCCTTTGTTACAACCTTTAAAAACCGTACCCTGTACCCGGTACTCTTTAGCCCGTGTGCCAGTGCTTGGCGCGATATTCCCCGTGCGATAAATAAAAACTCTCCGCACCTTCGCGGAATGCGGTGTCATCAGAAAGAAAAAAACGAAAGTTAAAACAAAAACACTTCAGAAATTCCTTCCCTAGGCAAACCGGTGCAGCTGTCGTGGATTTATCCTAGAGGATAAACAGCGGAAAAATAGTTGCGTTTGTATCCGGGGTGTATTCCGTTTCCATACTGTTATCAGGGTAATAGCAGGCCTGTATATTGTGCTTTATTGTTTTGTTTACTAAAGGTCTATACACTCTAAATTGTATTTTTCTAGATTAGTGACACGCTAGGTGAGGTGTTT